TATCTGTTGTGGATATTGTTTCATTGACAGTTTATATTGTATTTTGATTAATGATGCAATAATATCGAATTGCATGGATGCAGAGTCATCTAACTATATCCTCCCCGGATTTGATATCATTATATAAAGGTTTTACAAGCATTGTTCTACCTTCTCAAAAGTCAGTTAATATCTTTAGATTTCTATCATATATCTTCCTCGTATATTTTCAGACGGACCCAGTCCCCTTAAGTTAATCAACCAAGGTTCGTCCCAGGAGGATTGCTTAAGATATAAAGTAATTGATTTTACAATATTTACAAGCAAATTCACAAATCTCAACTTGTAATTAGAAAGGATCGTGGGCGAATCGTTAAGCATTGTGGGTGTTGATTACGTCCCCTTTATATGTATTTGTCACTAAATATTGTTAAACTTTGACAATTTTAACCGTATGTTGCGAACGTAACTTGATTATGTTCAAAAATTAACTCTGGGAGATACACTGAACAAACTTTTATGTACGAAGTCGAAGTGTTAGGGGGGACATATTTGACAGATTTTTTCCCCTCCATACAAACTCAAAAGTATTTTGAAAAAAAAAACTTAAAAACTTTAACAGTGAATTTTCAGGATAATGAAAAAAGTGTTATCCCTATAAATGGGATAGAACAGTAGTCTATAACAAGGTGAGTGAATTTTCATTTCACTGTTGCACATACATTTTGGTTTTGCTGCGGGGGGGGGGGGGGGGCAAAATGCCGAATTGACAAATAATTTGGTTGCACATGTATTTTCTATTCGGCAGTCTTAAAATTTACAGCGTTTATCATGTTGTAAATTTTGAATTTGCTAGGTGGAGGTAAATGCAAAATTTACAACATGATAACTATCATGTTGTAAATTTCGAATTTCCTACACCTAGTAAATTCAAAATGTACATGATAGTAATACAATATTGGGATGGGTACTGGGATTTTTGATGATTTAATTTAGAAAAAGAATTCATAAGGAAAATTAAAATGAAATGTTTAGCAGGGAATTGAATTACATGGTTATCAATAAGTTGTCGATGCAAAATGAATTTGCTCTGAATTTGAATCCTTGCAAAACCTTTATCTTCACAGATATTCAAGTCTAGAAAACAAAGCCAAGCTATTTGATTAAGATATATTTAAATGAATTATAATCCAATACGACAGAAATAGACATGTTTTTTTATGAATGTGTATTCTACATTGAAGTTTGTTTCCATGGAGGATCAAATCCTTATATAGGTAAAAAAAAAAGACGAAAGGAAAAGTATAGGTGCCATTAATAAAAATCTTACCAAGAACTACTTATGTGAAAGCTTCTTTAAATGGTGTAAATTCAAGATTGTATCTGCTAACAAGGTCATTGCATCGACCATGGAAGTTGCGAAATGTTAACTTAATTTAAACGGGACTGTTGGTATCCTTGTACCTTCGCCTTATTTGTCATTAGTTTGCCTCCTTTTGCAAATTGTTGATCATGCTCTTGCGTATCGATCAATTTGAAGACATAAACTTCATATGCAGGTGATAATGGTATAAGGGAGGTTGACGATAGAAAAATCGAAGCCATCACGATTATGATAAAGTTTTGTTGTTAGTTTGCCATTAATGTCTTAATTTTTCTATTAAATATCCAAAATATGAAACATATGAGGCAGACTAAGTTGTGGCTTTTATTTCGAGCTCAAAGGGATATATCGAATCAACTTAAGAATGAAAATGGATATTGTTAATCTATAAAACGTTGTCGATATACCTAAATTCGAATTGAAGGTCACAGCAGGACTTTTTTTTCATGTAGAAGTGTTTGAATAAATTGTGCTTCACATGAATATAAAAAAAAAAGATTTGCTAATCACGGGGCACAATTAGTCCCAATAGAAATTCCGATAGATTGTTGGAAGACTTGATCTCCAAAAATTGCATAAACATTGTCGATCAGAAATTTCTCAAGCATTTTTTAGTATCATCTTCGGAGTACTATGTACAATCAGAATGTTTCTAACAAAACAATTTTGCAAATGACCAATGACAAGGTATGTAAATTTACGAGTTCACTTTTATTGGAAAAAAAGCTGTCTATGATATCAAAAAGCCTGCATTTTAATTTATCGTGGGGAATGGTTGTATTAATTGTTGAAAAGTCGTCCGTTTTGATGTTGATTGTTGTAAAATTTTGTGATTGGATCACATTTTCCCGACGACACACATTCCCAAAGACCAGAAAGTGTTGTAACCAAAAGTAAGATATCAAAAACTCGTGCTTGCCCATCTTAACAACAATTCACGACATACTGTCGAAGACAAATCAACACAATATCAATCAACGGGTAGTGCTTTTATCATTTAAAAAAAATTAAATTTAAATACTTGAAAAAATTGTGCATGACACATTCAACATGTTCTTACCAAAGATAAAGAAAGTTTAAAAAAATGCCAAATTCTTTTGAAAATGTTTTAAAATATGGACAATAGGAAAATAAGTGACAGTTGAACCTATGGAGCAGAAAGAAAAGTAAAAAAAAAATATAATAAATAATAAATCTGGATTGGAAAGAATGCAAGGAGAATAAACAGGGCAGAAGAACCCTGACAATGAAGAAGGCGCTACCCATGCATGCACACTATTTTCATCCCTAATGGAGGAGTGATTCAATACCCAGTTCCGCAAAGCAAAAACCTCACTAGAAACTTGTATTGTTTCAATACACAATGTACTTCCAAGACTTTTACAAAATTTTTATCTTTAAGAAAAGGGTTCAAATACTGGCGTGTGAAGCATTAAACTTCTCCATGACATCGCTTCAGCCCATAAAGCCATAAAGCAAAGGTCAAACACTAAAGTCACAAATTTCTTGAAGTCCCACACCATGCATATTCGCCCAATCATGATTTTTTCCTATTTACAAAACTAAAGAAGCGCTCTATACTAGGAGATTCTAAACACAGTCATGGTGCTCTGCTATTTTCAGTATCTAAAGAGTATACATAACATAACATTAACATATACAAGTATTTTTGACTGACTTCAGTCTGTATTAAAAACAAGGGGAAATTACCATGAGATATGCAATAAATAAACTGAATTCCTAGTCTGAGTTTTGTGCAGTATCACCGTTCGGAGAAAAAGATATAACGTCCAAATCAATCTAAAAAAAAAAATAAATACGACCAATATTGGATTCTATATAAGATATGAAGGACATTTCATCACAATCTTACCGATTATCCATATTATCGTTTTTAGAATCAGAAATGACTGAAAGAAAAACAATTATCATGTAAATTTATTGCCATGGTTACTTTTGATGTACATTTTTCAAATATTCACATGCAATCACATCCAAACCTATTAGAGATATCTTAGAAATGTCAATCCTTTACAAGAGGCCGTATTTTAGGCTCTCATTATATAAACTCCTAAATAAGAGCAGAAGAAAAATCTCTCTATCGTCGCACGTGGTTGCTGACTTAGATCTTTATATCTATTATATCATCAAATTCTCATCTTCATACTTTGACGAATGTTAACCTTTGGTTTTCGGCTTCCTGGCCAATGCTGGTTTCAAGGATAATTGAACACCAGAGCGACAAATCACCATGCGTTTTAAGCATTGTTCACGACCATGAAAGCTGCATAGAATAAAGTCCTGTGGACTTAGAAGTAGGCTTATTCGCGTTTCACAGAATAGAAAGGATGCAATGATTAGTTTGGAATATAACTAATTATGTTTTAGTGTTACTGCAATGTTTTTTTTAAATTTGTGAAACATGCTAGAGGATTATATCTTTCTAAGAAAGGTGGTGAGTATTCTTAAGAAAATAACTGCTACTGCTATTAAATGCTATCCCTGAAATGTATTCTGTCTTAGCCTGTATGTAAATAGCAAATTGGTGCATAAAGTGGTCGGATAAAAACCAATAAATGGCTTATTTTCAAACATCAATTACATAAAATATTTTTTTTTAGTATTATGCCATTTGAAGATCATTCTGATCTCATCTAAAGAATATTTATATCTGAGCGAGCATCCGTTTTGCTACTTACAACAAAATATGAATCGTAAATGATTGAAATCTTTTTCATTTATATCTTAATGATATTGTTCAAAGACAATTCTCTTATACTTTTATAAAAATAGAAGAGAAAAATTAATAACAATTTCTTGAAAAGTTCATTTGTACTTTCCAATATGCTAAACAAATTGTGTAATCGTAAAGGATACTTGCACTTTCGTCATTGGACCATCCTGAGTATGGCTAATACTGCTTGGCCTTGAAATGAAAGTCAAAGAGTAAATTAATGAAGCATGTTTACAAAAGAAAAATCATAGCTATTTCGTTTGTTTTAAGACAAATCTGTGTAAATTGAAACAAAAATATTTTTTTTCTCCAAAGAAAATCTTGAGGCTATTAGAGAGGGTGGATTATTGTACATCAGATAAAGTTGGGCAATTCCTTCTCTATACAAATTTTCTTGTAGATCAATGTAATTTTTCTAAATTGATAAAAAACGTCAGAAGTTCTCTATAATTTTAATACCGACATCACGTGATAGGGTAATGTACCAATTTTATGGTCCATAAATAAAAGATCATAAACACCGACTTCTTGAGAAAAATAAAGCATATTTTTCAATGAAATACGTGGCGAATGATCTTTCTGCATGAAATAATATTATGTGCCTTATGATGACTTCCTTTGGAATAAAAATTAGAAGAAAATATGATTTATAATCAAAATGCATTCAACACAGACCAATTTTATGCCATCTTACCTAATATTTTGAATGATTATTTAAAGAAAAACTTGCAACCTTTTTGCACGAATGATAACTCCTAACAAGCGATTGATTAGGAAATATCAATCATGTGAACAAATGGGGAAAAACTTCGAATCGCTACGGAATAACTTACATTTTAGCAAGAAAGTGAGGGGAAAAAACTTAATTAAAAACAATAAAATATAGCTTCTCCAAATATAATGACCACAAAACTGAGCCATAATTTTCTTTTTCATAACTCTTACTGTAATGATGTAAACAGATTCTATTAACAAATTGTCGCTTCTAATTATAAATCGGAAATAAAATTCCAATTCTCAGAGAGAGAATTTTGTTTTCGTTGCACATTGTGTCTATTTGAATATGAGAGTTGTAATTACAACACAGAAAAAAAGTTTATTAGCATTCTTTTAAAAGAGGGTCGTGCAAGCAGACTAAAGTTTTGCAATGCACCATGGAAGGGATGGACACAGGTATATGGGCCGAAGAATACATAGAAAGGTAAAAACTCTCCATCATATTTTTTGCAGCACAATTTTCTAAATATTATCTTCTTATTAATTCTTGATACGCTTGTATATATATATATATATATATATATATATATATATATATATATATATATATATATATATATATATATAATTTTAAATATTCATGTCCTTTTTTAATTTATTACAAGAAATATTTTGTACGATTTCATGAAGCAATTTCAACAAATAAAGTGTTTAGTCCTTTTATGATGAAAATTTTCCAGGATTGCAATTGTTTAAGTTACAAAATTGAAGTCAAGATCAAAATTACAATTTCCATATGAAGTGTAAATTTCCTTGTCGAAAATTCTCTTAGAGCATTTCTTTAAAAAAAAAAAAAAACAACGAGGAAACAAACCTTACTTCTTGTACGTGTTCACGGTAGAGCCATTCTTAAGGAAAAATCATTCTAAACTGTTCAGTGTATGTTCCATTAACTGGCACTAAAATACAGTGTTCTGTGTCTAAAAACTAAAAACCAGGATTTACTTTTATTTTGTAAAGATGATTCCGATAAAAATCTTCTTGAAATGAACTATTATATCCGATATTTTTTGCCTTTAAAGCAGGTATGGCTTTTTATTTAATTCTCTTTAAAGATTAGTATTTAAAGATTTTTCTTGCAGCCAATTTTTATTGCTATAGTAATGGTTACATAAAACTATAAGCGCCTTAGATATCTTATATATAAGAGAAACTAAGATTGTGTGTGAATGTCTTAAAAAATCCTGCACAAGACGCCCCATCTTTCTTTTAAAGGTGTCAAACAGTAATGTGTATCACGTTTCTGAATCAATTTGTATAATGCATAAGTCTAATCTTACACACATTTACATAACGCAAGTCTGACTGATTTAGGGCTTCTTTTTTAAATGGTTTAAAGTGGATTGATCCTCGCAACAGCAACATATATCAGACGCCAAATAGGCGATATATACTGTTTTCCAAATCATTTACTGCGATTTTGCTATTTTTTTGTGCTGATTAATTTCTTTTTTTCTGTCAACCTCTCTACAATGTACATCTACCAGCCTCTGAATGCACTTTTTCTTTGTGGTCTCACTTAGTGGTCTTTGTATCTCGGAAAAGAAATCAGGTCCTGTAGAACAACACTTGACAAAGATATCTTTTTCAAATGTAATACTTAATTTTAAGTAGAACTTTACATGATGTGTTGAGGTCATACGATGTCCTACAGCTGACAAACTGATTTCTTATTATCATAAATGTTATTATCTAACATAAAAAGGAATTTCAAACCCTAATTTTCCTTAATTATATTATGGTTGTTGTGATGTGATAAAAAATTTTATCTTGGCAAACAGAGAAACAAACATACACGTCAATTTCTAGACGATTTTCAATTCCAGTAGGTAAATTAAAAAAGACACGAGTTTAATAGTACATGTATCTATATTACAATGATTCAAAAGTTGGAGAATCAAATTCCAGATGCTTTTTACTCTTATAAATACAAATAACTTCTGTTCTTTTACCTTCAAATTATTCACAACAGGGTAATAAATCTACAAAAATTACAGTTTGACAAAGTTTGAGACATCTAACCTTGAAAAAAGGTAGATGTAAGCTATAAAATTATATATATATATATATATATATATATATATATATATATATATATATATATATATATATATATATATATATATATATATATATATATAATTGTCTGTTGTTTTCGTTTCCATTTCGTACCACAAGCTTAATCCCATGCCTTGAATCCACATAAAAAGCAATTGGCGATGCTTTCGTTCCGACTCATTCCCTGATTTGACAAGGGTGATCTGGGCTCCATTTCTAACCGCAACAGGAGATTTTCACGTCGTTCGGTGATGGGAGTAAATATAAAAAAGACAGCGTTAAATGCAATCGAAGTTTTTCGACAGGAAATTGGGCTTCTTTGCACATTTACTTAACCCTAAGTCTCAAGACAAAACAGCAGTTCACAAAAGTGCTAACAAAGATAAATTACATTCATGGAATCGATATTTCAGAGATTAAAATTCTGTAGCCTGCCTATGATTTGTGTATACATGTACACATTCCCTAGAAAGATGACATCTGGTTTTTATTCGAAGGTTACTTATTTGAAATAAAGTAATTTTCATCAGATATTTATAATTCGACAGCAATGAAAACAAGCAGTAACCATTTCATGTCCACAATATACTGCACGTTATTTTCAAGTTGTTGTCCTTTTTATAAAAACCTGTACATCTCTGAAGTTTTTCAAAGTCCTACATCCTTCATATTCTTAGGATGACAACGTATTTCAAATAAATAAAATTTTGGTTGAAAGAAATTTAGGATGCTACATGCTGCAGCCAATAAAGCCGAGGTATTAAGATTTTAGTGCCTTCATTGCATGAATGAAATATGTGGAGATAACGAACAGTATTCGAGCCCAAAAGTTCATTAAACATTGCAAAATAAGAGCAGAGCAAACACGGAGGGATTTTTTTAGGGTCTCTCCAGGGCCGAAATTCGGCCCCATTCCCAATGCTGAAAAGTGTATGTTTTTCCCAAAATCATACCTAAAAATTCCCAATATGAAAAGAAGTATTAAGTTGTAAATTATTAAAATAAAATAATGACAAAACGGTGTTTATGTTCTCTATGTGCGATGTACGAGCCATCCGAGGACTTCCGAGAAGTTATTCGGAATACTATGGATGTTTGCATGCATACTTTTTAAAGCGGGATCGATGTTTAAAAATTAAAGTCGGGATCGTTATCTAAAAAATAAACGTGCATCATGTCAGTCTCTCCAGTTTGCCTAGGACGGTAATTTTCAGGCTGGGTGAAATCGCTCTTATTCTTATAATTTGGTCAAACAATACCGATTAACCACTCATCTGGAACAAACCCACTATCAAATATTATTTTAAAGAACTTCTTACATAAAGGTAAAAAAGATGACAACGTATAAATATGTTCATTTACAATGTTATCATACTCTGCGGCTTTGCCATTTTTAAGCTTCTGAACGTCAACAGCCCCTATTATTTCATATCACTAAAGCTGGTTTAAGCCAGCTTCATACTATAAAAAAAAATAAGAAAAATGATTAAATATTTGACTTTTGCTTGTTTTTTCATATTTATTTGTATGAAGATATTTTTCCCAATTTCAACCAAATATCGCTATTTTTCCCAATCTTGACGGCCCCGGCCCCTGGCATCAAGGGGTAAAAAAATCCCTGAGTCTCTAAACTTTCAGATGAATATGGGGTACTGTATGAAAATTCAAGAATTATTGTTGTTGGTTTTTTTTGGGGGGGGGGGGGGTAATCAGGAAAGGTTTGTTTTAAAGTTTAATTTTTATGATCAACTTACCTCTTGGAAGATAAAGAAGCAAGTTTTTCTTTTAATAACAAAATAGAAACGTAATTTCCATATTTGACAATTGGTCATGCGAGTAAATTATGAAGGTATAATGGTAGACAGATCAATCATAAAGTTATACAAATGTAGTTTATTTTATTGGTAAAAACCATTCCGTAAAATGATTAATGCTATGTGAAAGATGAATTATGTTCAAAATATATTTTTCTCCCTATGCTGTATTTCTGCAATATCCAGTATCACACAGATATATCTGAGTTACATTCAGGAACAAATGGCATCACAATTACGAAACCAAGAAAGAGGAAACGATGATTCTTATCTAAAGAATGTCCACATATTCGGAGATGGTTTAGATTTTTTCTAGCAAGCAAATAGAATAATTTATCTTATCATTAGTTAATCTCATATTTCCTTATGTAATATTATCAAATTATAGTAGATTAGCAATATAACAAAGACATTATTCGTATAGACCGTTTCACGGTAAACTGCAGTACTGCTCTTTTGCAGGGCAAAATGATTTAGTTTGGTGATATATGACGTAAAAGTAATTGTTAAATATACGTCATTTAATTATCTGTTAACAAAAACTTCGCCAAACGTTATAATTTTGCCCTGCAAAAGAGTAGTACCGCAGTTACCGTGAAGGGGCTAATTCTGTTATTCTTGCCATTTTCGAATTGAAGAAATCTGGCACGTACAACTTGTAAACTATTATCATGGTCCTGGAAAACTTACACAAAACGCTTTCATCTAATTACACGTACACTGTACTAGAGTTCTACATATTTTTTTAAGTTTAATATATATCTGACGCAAGAACAAGATAGGATAAGGCCCCTTTTTTGCCCAGTTTAAAAACGATGCAATAGTTCATCATCAAAAACCTTTTGTCATCCCTGTTACAAAATGAGAATTGATTCTAACTGATAGGATACAAAGGGGGAACAGGAAGGTCAAAAAATGTGTCAATTTCTGAATTTTCTCATTTGTATTCAAATTTTCATCTCTTTTAGAGCACATTTTGTTTCAGCAAACACAGAGCACAAGCTTACTTATCGACCATATTTACCGGGTATACTTTTCAGGCACTAGTATCAAATGCATCAAGTGTATGAAAATATCAGATAGGCAAGCTTATGCTCTATGTTTTGCGAAGTGAAATTTGTCTCATATTTGGCAAAATTCCATCAGAACTGAGGAAATTCGGTAAAAATTTCCTACTTACTTTGTCACCCTCTTGTGACCTCTGTTTACGTTTAGAATCAAAATTAATGCTTGTTTTCATAGAAGGATAATTTAAAGTTCTTGATTGCAAAATATCAAAATTTCATTATGTTTTGATTATTTTTTTTTTTAGAAACAAGGGGACAAAATAGGTCGATACCATACCTTGTCTTTTGTTGTATCTATATTGGTCCTGGTTATGAAAATATCAAAACGTGGTCATATAATGAACAGCAGACTTTAAATCTAACAGGCTAGGGAATATTTATTTTTTCTATATGATGAATATTTACTTAAGGAAATAAACAAGAGGTCCATAAGCCATAATGCTAACCTGAGTCACCACAGCCCTGATGTTCTTTAGATGATTGTA